TAAAATGTAGTTCTGGAAGCTTCTACGAATCTTTGAAATAGAAGCTTCAAAAACTACATTTTATGATTATCCCCAACCGATGAAAGTTTTCTGTATCATGGCCTTAGCAATTTTAAAAGAATCTTGAATACAAATTTTACAAAATGACATGATGCAAAATAATTGTAAGGTATTTTTGTCTGCATAAAACGGGGAAAAATAATTCAGGAGAGATACACACACATATTTTTAGAGTGTGTTAATTATATATGTTTACTGAACCCTCAGAGCAAACTAATCTAACATTCTAAACAACACTCTGGTTAAGAACTTGGAACTTGCAATTTCATTAATATTTAATCATAAATCTACACAAAATATTTAGGATTGAAAACAAAATGATGAACCAGAAAATTAACACAATTATAAAAACATATCGAAGCATAGAGATTTGTGCATAAAGGTAGGAATAGCATTCCCCAGATATTTTGTTCTATGACTACTTACGGTTTCTAGTTCCTGGACCCTAGCAGAAGACTTGGTCTTCTCACTCCTGGCCTCCCTGGTACTCTCCCTGTGGGACTGGATCTGTTCTTCAAACTGCTCCTTCTCTTTCATGAAATCTGATTTCAATTGTTCCATGGCCTACAACAACAACAACGACAAACAAAAGAAATCATAAAATTACGTCAAATAACAAGGTAACGAAACACTACGCTACATATTTCTCAATATGTGTCTGGGTCCCTTTTCACAAACCTTTTTTCAATGACAAATGACGAAAATCAGTGACAAATCTGCAATAACCAATCAGAAGCAAGGATTTCACTAGCTTAGAACAAAAAGCAGGGATTTGAGTGCATTGATTTTATGCTCACAAGCATATACAGTCAATGACATCACAAAGTAACACTGCTTAAACTTCCATTGGACACAGTATCTATCCCTTTCATGTTCTTTTCCATCACGGCCTCTTAGTCTTTGTGTCTTTCCTCTCTAGATTTCTCTAAAAATCAGATAAGCCCATGACTTTGACACAATATACTTGAAATGTTACAGCATACCTTAGTAAGGATATCTCTTTCCCCCGCTATCCTTCTTGCCTCGCCTTCCCAGTAAGCTTGTTGCTGAGTGACAGCTCTCTTGTCAGCATTCTGCTGTTTGAATTCCTCCTGTAGTCTCTCCTGACTGTTCTTCACCAGTGAAAGCTCCGTTGATAACACCTCGCTAACCTGTCAAGAAAATACCAATCATTAACTTTCGGATTAACGTATTTGATCTATTTCTATCCTTAAGAATACTTTCAAAATGATTTTCAATCAAATAATATCTCTGAATAATGGATTTGCCAACACAGCTTTGTGCACTTGTACAAAAATTCTCATATGAATGGGTTCAGGCAGCAAGCCTGTCATAAACAATTGCATAAATATCCATTAAAATTGGAAAAAGTCTTCTGCATAGACCACCTAGCTCTTTTTCATGATGATTCAATCCTGGATTTCTCTCTCCAACCGTGCCTTAGAAATGCAGAAGATTATCATTATGCAATGTTAGACAACAGGGCTCAAATTAATTTTTTGTCCACGGGGGCTCTTCCCCCCAAAAAGAGCCCCCGTGAGCCTTCTCACGGGGGCTCTTTTAGTACTGACGGGGGCTCTTTTTTATACAAATATCCATTGAATTGGTACCTATGATACTCCTCAATTATTTGCTATTTCATCATTATCATTTCAATCAGCATTTTTCCTCTTACAAATTTACAAGCTACATAGCTGTTACTGGCCTGTGTATATAATATATACGCATACAACACTGATCTTTATGATGTCTTTAACGTGACATATCTTCTTCTCCCCTTGCAAACGAGAAAGAAAACAAGGTCATTAAAAGGGATTAAGCGACGAATAATGATTGTGATTCAAATTGATGCGAATATTTGTTTGAATAAGCACTGCTATTCACCCGAATATTCTTTGTAAAAACAACTTTTACAAATCTCAGCCATGCTTACTGAGTTGAGACGTTCCATTCAATGTAAAATACTCATTAAAGAATACATTTCTCCTAATCTGAAAGTGATCTTACAACACAGTGGCAGATTTGCATGGCTGAGATTTGTAAAAGTCGTTTTTACAAACAAGATTCTGGTGAAAAGCATTGCTTATTCAAAAAAATCATTGCATCAATTTGAATCACAATGATTATTTGTCGCATGATCCTTTTATTAAATAACCTTGTTTTCTTTTTTTGTTTGCAGGGGGAGAAGAAGCTATGTCACGTTAAGAAATCATAAAGATCAGTTGTATTATGCGTATATACATTTATGATACCAGAACAAATGTTGATTATCAGAATGTCATTTTGGAATACCTCTATACAAATACCACATTGTCTTTAGCCCGTATCAGTATTAGTATCATCCAATATAAAGCTATTATTCTTTATTTAATTCAGTATAATGCTTTTCCTCAAAAATAGTTTTGCTATTTCTTTGGGGTTGAGACGCTAAGAAATGGTTTCAAAATGTACATTACACGAACCCTGCATGAACCATTGCAAAATGATGGTGGCTGTCCCTCTCTCTCTCTTTATTTTAATCATGCATTATCAACTACATATAAAGCAGCAACCAAAAACTTAGGGTTATCTGAGATAGGTGAAAGTAAGAGTTAAAAAGAAAGTCATGCTAAAACGGCGCTTCACTCCCCCCCCCCTGAAAAAAATAAAATAGATTAGTAGTCCTCCTCTCCAGCATCCCCCCGGTTTAATATCACATTTTCACTTGGCAGCCCAAGGGGGCCGGGGGGGGGGGGGGGGGGGGGGGGGTCACACGTTGCAGTCCACGTTCTCATCGTGCAGATCTAAAAGTCCCTAATATTGATTTACTGTTTGAGGTTCATTATTTGCTGGTCATTTGAAATCACCAGATTTCAGCGGGTTAACGCTTTCACAACGAAAAACTTCTCCATGACCATCTTTCTGCCCTTGCGCGATCGCCTCCAGCTCCAGCAGACATGGCGCGGCAGCGTGCACACGTACCGCTAAGAAGAAGTAGGCCTATAACCACTGCTGACGGCGGCACTGCACTGTGAGCTGAAACGGTAATAATAGGCCTATACTAATAAAACGAGAAATCTTGCACGCTAATCTAAGTTCTATTTCATTGGTTTAAGGTTTGAAAATTGAAACTCAATATTGTGTTAAAGTTATGACAGAAAAGATAATCTTTATTTTATAATTCCACGGGGGCGATTTTTAATTTTGCAATCGCCCCCGTGAGCAACCTGACGGGGGCGATTATGTAGCCCACGGGGGCGAATCGCCCACCGCCCCCGTGTATTTTGAGCGCTGTTAGACAACCAATACAAAAGCATTGGATAATTCAAGAATAACTTACCTTTTTGGTGGCATTGAGTTCCTCTTCTAATTTGTCTAATTCTTCTTCTTTCCGGTCCACCATAAGCTTGTGCTGAGTGACCGACAGCTGGGCCTGGGTCAGCTGGCTATCAATTTCTTGTTTGATCTGAGGAGAGAAAAAAACAGAAAATATGATTGATTAAGCTATTCATTGCTGGGCCTGCTGGGTAACAACCAAAATGCACACTGAATGAATGGAAGTGAAATTCATTCGGCTTTAATGGACTAGGTGGAATCGGGTAAGATCACACACAGGCCAGGGCAAAAGAGGATTGAGAAAGAGACAGACAGATGGGATTGGAAAAGCAAAGGACAAACTTGGGGGGGGGGGGGTTGAATATTAGGGAACAGAAACAAAATAATTGATATAGATTCCGGAAAGAGGAAAAAGAAAGATGGGGTTGGAAGTATCGAGAGTTGAAAAAGACACAAAAGGAGAAATAGGGAAAAGGAATAGGATATTTGTGGTAACAGATAATAAAATAACAAAATGAGGGAGGGAGAGGGAGAGGGAGAGAGAGAGAGAGAGAGAGATAGCAAAAAAGAGAGATATCGAGAGATAGAAAGTGGCACCATGTACAAGAGTAATTAGTTTGGCTGTATAGTGAGACTTTCTTTACCTTGATGATTTCTTCTTTCTCATACATAGTCTGATTGAGGGCTTGCTGGAGGTCTAACTTCTCTTGCATCAGTCTCTCCTTGGAGGTCGATGAGCTGACACATCGAGCGTTCAGGTCAGAGCACTTATCCTCCAGGTCAATGGCTCTACTCTGGAACACATCTCGCTCCTACACAGAAAATTTGATTAATAATATGTTAATTTCAATGTGTAATATACATAAATGTGTTACCATGGTATTTCACTTGATTTAGCTTGCCTCTAGCAAGTCTCCATATGTGAAGGAGTATTTCAAAAGGCTACATCTGAAATCTTGCTCATGACTGTTACACAGGAAAATGTACAGGAGAAAGTAAATCAAACAGGTATCTCTACAGCTAGTAAAACTCCTCTAAAGATAACATCTTTTGTGTGATAACTAGCAAATTAATGTGTTTGGGCTAAGAATGGCTGGTTCTTTCTTTCTGAAACAGAAACTATCACACATATAGCAAAGATGTATTCATATGAAAGCAATACTACATCAATGCAAGTACTAGTCAAAGAATAACATTCAGATTTTGACTCTAGAAGGGTTATCTTTCATAACAAAATACCGGTACAAGAGGTTAGAAGCATCAATAAATGTTCATCATCAACTTGTTTTACCCCTCAAAGGGGGCCAGGGTGTCTCGATAACACCCTCTACATCTGCTTTTTGTCTCTCACATCCAGATAAATCTTTCTCCCATCTAGAGTCAAAGATTAATTGTAGTTTGTAAATATGATATTTGATTGAATGTACTATTATCTGAGAATCACCATTTTTTTGTAAAGCGCTTAGAAACATATTATATTTTTCGTGTCTTCCCATTCAGGAACAGGTAGAAAAATGTGTTCAAGATCTTGAAAGTTGTATTCATGATGTACGAAAATGGATGAATGATTGCTATCTCAAACTAAATGACGATAAAACAGAATTTCTCTTGTTAGGCTCCAGACAACAACTTTCCAAGATTGTTATAACTCATATACGTGTTGGTTCTGTGCACATTGCTCCTTCAGATAAGGCAAGAAATCTTGGTGTCATTTTCGATACAAGCATGTCTCTTGATGCACATATTTCAAAATGTGTGAAAGCTGCCAATTATCATCTTCGTAATCTTCGCGCTATAAGGAAATTTTTAACCCCCCAAACCACTCAACAATTGATTCATGCTTTTGTAACATCTCATCTTGATAACTGTAACTCTCTCCTTTATGGACTTCCTAAATACCAAATTCACAGACTACAAAAGGTTCAAAACTCAGCTGCCCGCCTTGTCACTAAATCTAAACGTTCGACCCATACTACTCAAATACTCAAGAACCTTCACTGGCTTCCAATAGAACAGCGTATCAGATATAAAATTCTACTACTCACCTACCGTTCACTAAATAGATCAGTCCCTGAATATATTTCCTCTCTTCTTAATATCTCTTTAAGTTCTCGTACAGGTCTTCGTTCCTCTAATTCAACAAATTTAACACAATTAAGAACAAAGAGGAGTTGGGGAGACAGAGCTTTTACAGCTACTGCACCCCGGTTATGGAACTCCCTACCCCATTCAATCAAAATGTCAGCCAATCAAAATGTGTTCCAAAAACAACTGAAAACCTATCTAATGTCTGAATTCCTTAGTTAAGACGTAGTGTATTTCACAATATGATGTAATTAACGTTGTTGAATTATATTTAATTATGTTAAATTATTTTTGTTCAATGTACTTACCTTGTTAGGCGCCTTGAGCATCTCTTGGGGTGGATATGTGCGCATTATAAATGTTGTTATTATTATTATTATTTATTAAGTGCTCTAGAAATACAATGTATTACTATTATTATTATTAAAGATCTATCTATATCCACAGCGTGTGAATCATACCTCACTAGCTCTCATGAAGTCTCCTTTGAGCAGCTCCACATGGTGCATGAGTTCAGCGACTTGTCGTCTCTCATCCATCAGAAAGGCGTTCAGCTCTGTGTTTCGGGCTGCAAGCATTTCACGACTCTGTCAACCATGAGACAAGACGGATACAAAACATTGACTTTGATAAAAGAGAAAAGGGACAGTTTAACTTATAAAGTTGACAATCTGAAATATCACAGAGGAAGCATTTCTGTACCGTGGATTTTTCAGAAAGAATATGTTAACCCTTGGTTCAAATTGAATGTGAAAATAGCTTTGCTGCAAATTTAGCATCATCCCAGGAATAGGTTTGGTAGGATCACAAATATTTTAATAATAATAATAATAATAATAATAGATTTATATAGCGCAGCTTTTATACAAAATATATTCAGCTGCGTTAAAAGAAAGCAATGCCAGATTTATGACCCTTGTAGTCTTTATCTGAAGTCCCCTAACCATAGTTCTAGCAACAGGGGTGTTTTATGCAATGTCTGTACTTAAATTCTCTTCTGTTCCCATTCATAATGCATTTATACCCTTTAATAATAATAATAATAATAATAGCCTAATAGTCCACTCCAAATTTTATTAAACCGAAACGGAAATTCTTTTTGCCCAATTGATCGTGAGCCCGACAGCCACTGAGCAGCGCCAGATCAACAATTAGGAGACCAACCAAAGATTGGGGAAATGCAGTCCAACAGCTCAAGAGTAAAATCTTACAGTCATTTAACATAAGTTGAACTTATCTCTAAGTTAAACTTAAAGGTATTACAAAGTTTTGGGAAATTGTGAAAAATGGGTGGATAGGGATTGTTTAAAATTTTGATATATTTGGATGCCCCTGTGGATGCATTAAAAGCACTAGAAATTTTAGCCCCTAAAACACCTTTGCTTTCGAGAAAAATTGAATATAAAGATTTACCGGTGCTTCCGGTAAATTTTGATAAATTTCAAATAGCTCCTACGGCCGTACAATAGTAGCTGCGACTATGAAAATCTCAGAATATGTAGTTGTGGTATATAATTTCCAAACGGGAATAGCTAATCGGCCGATTTTAGTCAAGAAACATTGTTTTACAACTTAATTAATATCTTTGAGAGGGAGCTATACAACATAAAGTGTTTATTATTTACAATTTCATAACTTTAGAGTCGATTTCGACCACGACAACATATTGTCGGATCGCATATGCTTCCGAAATGTTCATTTGATCCAAATTCACGACCCCATACCAAAACTTGTAATACCTTTAACAATTATGGAAAGCTGTTAGCATCTTTGAAAAAATATTTTGTAAAAGTTATTTTAAAAGGCATAAAATATTGATTCAAATCATTCATATTTTCTATTATCCAGGAGATTGCATGTTCTTGATGTGTAATTTATGAAAAGTCTAATATACTTGAAAGAATTTTTGCTTTTGAATATGTTTTATTAAAGGCTACAAATGGCTCTCCATCATGTTTAAGTCCAACTTAGAGTTAAGTTAGACTTGGGATCTTTGTGAAACACCCCATGATTCATCTGGCTCCTGTAGGCAATGGGTTAAAGGTAAAGACCAGTTATGGTCACGCGATTGCATTGTGAAAGAAACGTTGTGGAATCGATCAGAAAAGGTTGATCATCTAGCATCTAGTATCAGCAAGGTTCTGGAATCATCAAAATGATAAGAAATTTGGCCAAGTCTTCGTAAAGTTACAAGCACTATACACAGAAAGATGTATATGGGACTACCCTATATCTCTCACAGACCATGAGAGAAACAAATTTACCAAATATATGAATTAGTAGGCGGTTTCCCGGCAAATTTGTTATCATCATGTATTAGTCAAAACATATTCTTTCACATGATTGGTAATGAGAGCTTCCATTTCATTTTTTGAAATTGGGGCGTTTCCAATACTGGTCTTTACCTTTAACAATGGTCTAAGCAATTACTTTCCAATATTTTTTTCCAAAATGTTTTCTGTTTGGTAATTGTCAGTTTGACATGAGTACTAGTGGCTACTAACCTCATTGAGCTTTTCTAGTTCTATCACTTCAGCTTCCAGTTTGTCATTCTTAGCCTTAGCAATCATGATGGACTCCTTCAAGGCCAGCGCTTCCTTGAACATCGTGTCTTTGGTCTAAAAAGTGAACAAAAACAATTTACCAAGTTAATACTCATTAATTTCTCCAATCAAAATAAATATATAATGCTGCACAATCGTATACATAATGAAAAATTAATCAAGAATAAAAGATAGTAACACCCTCAATATTGGCCAACTTGATCATCCTTTTCCTATTGTACTTAATAATGCACACAAAAGAAGCAGTCAGAAAATGAAATCAAAATAATATCAAAATAATAATAATCCTTTTGAGCCTGTTTAAGGGTAAAAGTATTGTTAACACATCATGCAGTAAACTTGCAATAGATCAGTGAGAATTAAGGCCTTTGTCGTGCACACCTAGTTTTTTCATCTCCATTTGCTATTCACTTACATGGGTTATGTGGTTCATATTTTGCTGCAGGAGTTATAGTTATTTTTTGGAGGAGGGGGGAGGGTATAACTGAGTCAAGTCTGAATGAAGCCAAACAGAAGTCTAGAAGAAAAGACACCCAAGGATTCACTGTCCACTTACCTGTTGAAATGTCCTGTTTTCTTCATCCAGGAGACTCATCGCCCGAGACGTCTGATCTACGAGCGTATCTCGTTTCCGGTTTTCAGCCTGGAGAGAAGAGTGAGCGGCCCGTAAGCTCTTCAGTTCCCGCTCCAGATCACCGACCCTGCGACAGGTCAGAAATGATACCGTCAAACTTGGCTTTCAAAACTGTAGAAACAAGCTACATAGAAATTCACCCATCTCTAAAGCACTGAACATGATTAATATTAATAATAATAATAAATAAATAATCATGGCTTTTTGTATAGCGCTCATATCCATCACACAGTGACACTCATGGCACTTAGACATCATTACTCGGGTTAAAGCCAAGCTGCTAAAGTAACTAGCACTCAAGCATATCAGGTACCAATTTACACCTGGGTGGAGAGCGGCAAATATAGATTAAGATTAAGATTGATGAGGCCATTAACTCATAACTAATATCCCCTCCACACCCACAGTTACCACCCCTCTGACTCCAACAGGTGACATAGTAGTCAAAGAAAAGAAAATTGCAAACCTTTGCTGGAGAAAGCCTTGCTGTCGAAACGAATCCATCTTGTCCGTCACGGAACCGTCTCGCTCTTTCTGGACGTCAACTAACCTCTTTTGAAGAGCCTACAAGTCAAATGAAAGCATGGCATCATTGTACATGATGCAGATGATTATTAAATTACATAGCAGATGGCACAGTTATCCTATAACAATGCATTAGAGGAGAGTATACAAGAGTGTTCTTCCTTGTGCACTTGTTCACCCATTGTAATTCCTCTATAAAAAAAAAACACCAAAGAAGAAACAGATGCAAATGAATGGCTATTGGGGGTGAGGAAAAATAGCTGTGAAACAAATGCCCCTGAGCTTCCTCACAATTCATAATATACTGTAAGCATATTACATTATGGAAAAATGAAGCATACTGCTTTATTTTGCATCAGCAAGGATTTCATTTCTTCAGGTGGTTCACCGAGTCATGTAAGAAAGAGGTTTAAGATTATTACATTCTTGAGTCTTTCACTAAAGATGAAGAGTTCTCACAATAAAATTAATTTAATGTGCTTTAAATTGAGAGGTTGGTATGTATTGCTGAATCTTACCTCATTTGTAGAAGATAGATTTGCTAAGGTATGGTGTGTATCATCCAGCATCCCTTCACTATTACACAGCTTCTCTGTTTGATTCTGCAGAAAGAAGACCAAAAATGACGGTCAATGCTATAGTTTGCAGAATCATAATTTGGATAATTCAGCTATAATTTTCTAAATTGGCAACACAGACTTAGTATCTCTTTCACTGCTACACTTTTCTGTATCATGAAATATTGATTGACAAAAAAATGGTTAAAATACAGTATTTTATTGCTCAACAAAATTGCTTGTTAGGGAAATGATTCATAGTTACATAGTAATCATTAGCACAAGAAGGTGTGATTCTTTTCTTAGATATGTGGTAATAAATAGACATTTGTACAATATTCCTCCTACTACACATCCACTCCAAAAGGCGCTATAGTTCTCTTTAGAACTATAAGATCAAGAGAGATTACCAACAGTCCTTTTCAGGGATCCCCAACCCTCCTCCCTCTCTCACATGGTGCAACCGTAAGCCTACTGTATAATGTCATATGTAAGAGAAAGTAAATTCCTCATCACAAACCTGTAACGTATCGTGAGCTTCCCTCAGCTTCTCCACCAATGCCAGTCTCCTCTGCTCACTCTCATACATAGCATCCTTCATGTTCTTCATGGACGATGGAGACGTATTCCAGTACTCCGCCCCGCCCCCATTGGAGGCATTACCCCCTGGTGGTAGCACCCCTCCCCCTCCTCTCATGCTGTCGTAGCCAGAGGAGATGAAGGGGGATGACCTGCCGGTGCGTGGCATGACCGGTGCAGCCGAGGAGGAGTGGCTCCCGTAGGCAGTGTGGTTGGAGACTTGGGGGAGGGAGCTGGATTGCTGGGGCGGGGTCAGATGATGGTAGGGGGATTTCCGCGACCCACCATGGCTACAAAGAAAAGAAAGTGAATACAATTGAAGTGAATCATATGCCCATGCACAACTGCAAGTTGTAATGGGCCTATACACTTAATTTGTGATAGACTTCTATTTTTGTTCTTCACATATATCCCCAAAGTTTCCCCCTCTTTTCCTTGTATCAGAATTTACTTTGCATCAAAGAAAAGAAAAGATTTAAAATATATGCAGACCTTCATTTCTAGAATTTGGTGGAGCTCTATTAATCCCACTCCTTGTTTTGCCAAGGAGCTCAAATTGAGCTCCTCAAATAACTCTCCTGGAAAGAGTGAGGAGCTCAATTTGAAAATTGATGTTGATGAGCAAATGAATAGACACACAAACCTCCCGACACACTCTCAGCAGTAGGAGCAAATTTGAAGAAATTGCCTTTTTAATTGTTGTATAACCAAAGAAATAAGAAGAAGTTGCGTAACGTGCGTTCCCGAAACCAAAATCGTACCTCGCACACACACACTCTCAACATACCACGAATGGTCCGTCGTGGGAGGCGAGCGGGCTGGAGTTTTTCAACGAGACCAATGCAGTTTCGGAGTTTTGCAGCGCGCAATTTTACCGGGACTCGAAAGGTTCGTCGTGGGAAGCTGGCCGGCTAGCTTTCTGCCGAAACAACGCTAGGTCGGCTGCTGGCAAAAAGAGAGTAGCTACGATCGAGAATATCGTAGGTGTTCTTAACTTATCAATAAGATAATTCTAAATTCTATTTAAGATGAAATAATAAACTAGAACTACAAACAAACCTCGACAGATCTCTAATGACTATTTGAATGCTTGTTTATTTCTCCATTTGACGATTTGTTGTCTTGATCCTTCGATACATTTGTACGTACGTATATGCGTGCGCCAGCGCCACAGCAGCATCTAGCGATCGCATGATCTGAACGTACGTACGTAAACAAAGGGGCGCATTTTCACGGAAACACATGTGCCTTATTAAAGCACTAAATACGTAGCTAGTAGAGAGCTCCTGCGCGGCAAAGTGTTTGTGATTCCGAATCACGAACAGTTTGCCGCGTGAGCTCTCTACTAGCTTCGTATTTAGTGCTTTTATAAGGCGCAAGTGTTTCCGTGAAAAATGCGCCCTTTACGAATCATTCGTGTATTTTTTCTGTTCTAATAATTTATGGCCGGGCGCATTTTCACAGCAAACACTTGCGCCTTGCCGTCTAGTTTTAGATGATTATGGGCGCAATTGGTGGTTTTATGAGCGCAAATTTGCGCCCTGCGCCCGCTTAATCGAAGGCTTGGCGATGTAAATGGTTGAAATTTGTGACGAAGTTATAGTGTTCTTGAATATTTAGTAGGACATGCATTGTTTCGGAGAATGACTGACAAGTTGCTAGAAGCTTAAAATGGCGATTTGTTGACAATTTTGCCGGTGCGATCGGCCACAAACATGCACCCTAACTGTTAAACGGGATTTTTAACTGAAGGAAAACATTGAAACCAAGGAGCGCTGTAAACAACTCTCCTGATTATTTTTTAGGAGCGCTGTAGGAGCGCCGGCGTGATCGCGCTCCTTAGAAATGAAGGTCTGTATATGTACTGAAAAGAAATATTGATTTGAATTTCACACATCTTGACCTTCATTCACATATTTTTTAAATAGTAAGTAGTATGCTAAATGACCGAGAGTGGGAGACATGCTCAGTTCATTAGCTTTCTTTTTATTTTTGAGGTGGAGGGTTGGATTGGCTTTATCTCTTTATATCTACCCATGATATGTGCCCTACATGTAGTTTGTGCATTTATTGTATATTTTAAAAAAACAAGAGAAAAAAAAATACCTTATTCCTGAATCTGAATCTTGGCTATTACTGGCTACATGATCCCCATAGGCTCTGCTGTGGATGGGAGAGGAAGACTTGGGAGTGGAGCTCCCTCCGTAAAGACTTGATCCGGTCGTTCTTTTCAATACATCTATCTCTGCTTCCTTCTCTCTTCTCTTACCTTGCTCTCTCTGGGGTTTGAAATGAAACAAAGAAATATGAAGAGAAACTTATATGTTACTTGTAGACTTGGATACTGTAAAGGCCTGTTCAAATATATTGGTAAACCAGAATATTTGTGTGTGTGTGTGTATGTGTACTAAATGAATGGCGAGTGGAGCTTTAAAAAAGTAACTGCAAGTAAAATGTACATATCTTTTACCTGTGTGTTATAAGATACAAATATGTGGAGTGTAGTATGCTTCAGTACACTTTAAAAAATACCCCAGTTACCCCAACATTTATGAGGTTATTTGGCTCCAAGTAGCTTTACATCCTTTAATTTGGCTTGGAAGGGAATGGTATAAATGAATCATGCATACAGAATATCATCCTTGCTACTTGCGTTTCACAATATGGAATTATATTGAATTGGTTATTTGAGATATTCATGTTCACAGCAATAAACAGATAAATTAAATGAATCTGTACGCGATATGGTATCAATTAGTAACAAATAAAGTTCAATTCAATTCAATTCAATTAGGTGGTAACTCTAATTGGCTCATTCACTGTTAATGGCTACCTAAAACTGTAGTTGCTAACAACTTGTTTATAATCATGAAAATAGCCAAGAATGCAATGTACCTCATAAATTCAGTACTGTTTACCGGTACAGTGTTTGTATTACATCGACAAGAATATATTATTTTAAATGAAAGCAAGCTTACGTATGCAGATCCTACCAGCATTTTTTGAATTACATGTATATATTCAAAATCATACAATAAATGTTTGGAGAGTAACTATAGTTCAAGGGGAAAAGTATGTTTTTCCAAAAAATCATATCCAATAAAAAAAAAATTCCATAGGAAAGCCCACAAATTAATTCCAATAAAAAAAATTCTAACACTGAATGTGTTGGAGAAAGATCCCAAACACAAGAAACAATTATGAGCCTTATGAAGATCACCATTACAAGAGTACAGTAGTCGTGTATTATAATCTTGTACATGTCCTTTGTTTGCTGAGTAAACTCAACTCTGAATACTGCTAACATGTACAAGGCCAAGGGTTACACCAAGGTGACGTTGTGTTTACCAACAGCAGTACAAGTATCAAACAAGATCTCTCTCTCTCTCTCGATCTCCCTCTCCCTCTCGATCTCGATCTCCCTCTCTCTCTCTCTCTCTTTATCTCTCTCTTCAAGATAGATCCTGGCTAGTTAGTATTTGCCAACAGGTTCAAGATAGTTTGATGATCTACAGGTTGAAGATTAAATCCCAATTTGTATGGACAACTGCAAGTAAAAATCCTTTGAAACAAAAAGTAAACTGCAGAGGGCAAAGTTCATTTCATAAAATATGAAATATCAGTTTACATGACAATATGTACATACATACTGGTAAATGCAAAATAATCTGTAGACCAATTTGCCTTTGTTTTCCATTAAATTGCACTATAATATGCATTTCTTTCCTTAATATGCCAAATATAGTATGATGAGGTGTCCAAAATTTGTGGACATTCCAAAAATAATTTGGTATGTGACATTCGATCCATGACCTCTCATATTCTACACAAATTTATTTAGAATGATTACATGTACTACCAAATGAACAGCAAAATTCTAGGCTACAAATGGAAAATTAATAGTCAAAAAGAATTCTGGCAATATCGCATTTTAGAATTTCAACTTCAGATCAGTGTGCGCTACAACTGAAGTCATACAAATTAATACCTTTTTGTAAATTAATACCTTTTTGTAGTTCAAAATTAAAACTGTTTTATCTATCTTAAACCTATTAACCACTTTAATATTTGAATAAATTGTTATGACTGTGTCTTTAAGAAACATGTAGTATAGGTAGATAATCTTCACAACTGCTCCAAGATAAGTCCTATTAAATATTGCTTGTCCTGAACCCCCTACAAACAAACCATGCAACGTCATTACTTACTCTTAGTTGATTCCGTAACTGGCTAGCAGACATCAGCTCAAAACTTGTATCCAAATTGGCATTGGAACCAAAACCATTGTTTGACTCCACCTCGTAACTCACAGGTGATAAGGTCATCAATCCTGGGTCCCGCACCCTCGCATCCATTATTCCTCTTCTGTTAGGATTTGAAGACTGTAGTTGCTACTAGATTCTCAAAGTTCCCTTTCTTCTCATCTGCATGCCATGTTTGGTGCACTGACCATCAAAATCTGAAAAAATACATTGAGAAAATCATATTAGGGTCTATTAGAAATAAGCAATCAAAGTAATAGGTAATCAAAAAATACTAAATTATTAAAGAGGCCTGGACTACTCTAGACCGAATTTTCCATCTCTTTCGTTCGTTAAGCCTCTTATTTGGGTAGGGTCGGCTCTCTCATTAGAGACGGAAGCCGACTATACGCATTCCCTTGCTAACACCAAGGCCATTTATGGCCATATTTTTATGCCCCGAAAATCCCCCCAAATGTCATTTTACCTTGTGCATGTTATATTGTAAATTAGGCCTAGGCTATAATAAATCGGTTCCACTTACCACCTTGACTGAAATAATCCGTTTAATGGTCCCTTTTTAGGAAATTATGGGTCAAAATCAAAATCCATGTTGAAAATCTTGCAAGACGTATTTTAACTCTCGCTGCGCATGACGTCATCTAAATCTCATCTCTTTTAGTCTACGCCGAAGGCAAAATGATTATGAAGGAAAAACTGTGCGCGAGCTACACGTTCGAAATGGCGTTATCACAGTTTTTCCTTCATAATCATAAAAAGGAACCATTAAACGGATTATTTCAGTCAAGTTGGTAAGTGGAACCGATTTATTATAGCCTAGGCCTAATTTACAATATAACATGCACGAGGTAAAATGACATTTGGGGGGATTTTCGGGGCATAAAAATATGGGCATAAATGGCCTAGGTGTTAGCAAGGGAATGCGTATAGTCGGCTTCCGTCTCTAAAGAGAGAGCCGACCCTACCCGAATCAGAGGCTTAATGAACGAAAGAGACAGAAAATTTGGTCTAGGACTACTCCAGCCTGTAGGTCAAATTAAAAAAAAAATAGATCTACAATACTCAATAGCCATAGGGCAGGGGTCTAATTTCTAAATAACAATAACAGAGATGCCAACCTCTCGACACAAAAAAACAGACTGAGTATCCTAAAAAATCAGATTTTGGAGAGAAAAATCAGATTTTGGAGAGAAAAATCAGATTTTCACCAAACTTGACACTACCATTGGCCCGTTGGTCCCGGGCCAGTAAAATTTCAGAAAAATGTTTGCTCTTTCATTAAAATTTAATGAGAAAATTGTAAAGCAAATTTTTTTGTTGGAGTTGCGGAGGTTTACTTGTACATGTTTCTATGCAATTCTGCTGTTTTTATGGGTTTTAATAATAATTTTTTAAAATTTATTTTTAATTTTTAATTTTTTTTAAAAGATGAAAAATCGTATTTTAAGATTTTAAGATCGTATTTCACTCTTGTTATCGTACTGGTTAAGAAATGTGCCACTTGATCTGATTGCTACTTGTGATAGCCTCAAGGCTCAATAATTAGTCTTTTAAGTTTCATTTCTTAGTTTCGCAAAAGCCAAACCTGTGCGGCCCGACACCGATTTGCCACTGTGCACTGTGTCTGTGTCACACTGTGCGAGTGCAGTGCAGTCCAGACTAGGACATCTATCATATGGTGAAATCTCACATTCTTTTTCTTGCCTGCACTTTAAAAATACTCCTGAGTACTTAGTTTTACCCTTAGACAAGAAAATCAGTAACAAATACAAGTTTAGTAAAGACCTACTACCATCAAGTCACACCAGTCACGCCATTTCGACATGCGAAATTAAAGACACGATTTGTACTCGCGCTATCGCAGCGGTGTTTGGAGCATGCATGGGCCGTCTGAGCTGGCGGAAGGATTACACGGAAGACTGATGAAATGACCAAACGGCTCAGCTAGCAGCTCAGGCTCAGCCTCAGTCAGGACGTCGTGACACTTTTTATATCACTGACACAAGTAATGAACACACAATTCACACACATGTGAGAATGATTCCATTAAGGTATTGAATCACAATTGAAATAGTACAGCCAATAATCCAAAATTTATAATAAATCAATCAAGAAAAACAAAATATATTACCAATCTCACGTTCACGGGAACTAGGGACGCGTCGCCATATTTGTAATGTTGGTAAACCATCGGATCCTGGCGGGTCCATTAAAATAGAGGGTATTTTTAATTATATCAACTTTGTTTATTATCTCTAAAACTTTATTTGAAAATTTATATTCATAATTAAATCAATCAATTATATTGAAATTACATATAAAAATTAAAATTAGATAAATTACAAGACTTATCAAATAACGCATCTTTTTATGTATTTTCTTTAACCCTATATTTAAAATGGTGCCGTCCATGTTTCGTTTTTTTTAGAATAGAGGCGTCAAACTAATAATTGTCAATGGCCCATTTGCACTCATGATCTGAATTTCATGAAGCAATCAAGCGTTTCGACAACAAACGGCCATTTAAACACGTAACGGTCGATATTTTGTTGTTTGGCATCTAGAAAGCAGAATTTCCTAAGTTTTTCATTATGGAAGTGGACATGGACAGGAACAAATTTCGATTGGAAACAATCTTTTGGATTGATTGATTGATTGATTTTTTTTTCTCGCCAAGCCTCCAACATATAGATCTATCGAAATCAAGTCAATCAAGTCAGCTTGAACAGGAAAATCCTCGATTCAAACACATTGATTTAGGAAGAGGGGATAAGTGAGAGCCGTTGTTCACAATCAGCAGACATGTAAAAAGTCATTATCTAAAAGATAAATTGATTCAGTTGATATCATACCATTTTCTTCTCGTTGAAACTGAATAATTTATAGTAAAACAGTATTATGATCAAGTACTTGCGTGCATGTTAATAGCATCTCATGTTTATATATATATATACCACAGTAACCCTCTTCATTCTGCGTATAAGCTGCCTGTTGTTAGCCTGTGTATTGTAGTCTGATCTGCCTTTTAGACACTCACACTGCCCGATAAGGTCAACAAAGGCCCTAATCAAGGACTTTCTTTTGAAGGATGAAGACATTCTCAACGTGATTAAGGAGAGAGTGGCTCAGTCAATGGAAGCCAAATGCCATGACCTCATTGTGAGAATGGAGAAACAAGATGGCCAAATTTATGAGCTATGCAGCAAAAGCTCGATTCTACGTATGAGCATCAAAACACCACAAAGACAAAATCAAAACTTATTAAATGTATTTTGGACACTTTAAATTTTCAACAACGAAACAGCAGATATGGGGTCCGGTTGGGCCTGAGTGCTGACGGAGAGGTTGCTCCAATCCGATATTTTGGGTTTTCGTCAACAAGTTCTAGCCTACTGAAGAAAATATGATATAACAAATATATTCTGATTTTGATTGGATTTTCCTACACCAAATTCATAATATAGGGGGCACATCCCATTCTACCGTATATGAGGCGAGTACCCTCAACCCCCGTCTCCCGGCCCCTCCCCGGCCACAGCACTTGAAAGAACCAACAAGGAAATAACTTGCATGAATCCACTTTAATTTGCCAAGACAAATATACATGTATAAGAACACTTGGCAAAGCCTGTTAATCTTTATAGGATTCATCTAAGGTAGCTCAGCCTATACTCAATTTGACTCAATTTGGGATAATTTTAGACCCAGGGGTGGGGGGGGGGGGGGGGGAGGGTGGGGACGGGGGCCCGGGTCATTAATTGTGCGGCTGAAGTTAGCCCATGACCCACTTTTAAGAGTCATTTTTGAAGAAAATGGTACCACGGCATTATAACCAACAACTCATAACCATATTAGAGCGGCACATCCCCGTATAATTAACGTATTAGGCGAGTACCCCCCCCCCCTCCCCGCCCCGGATTAGTAGATCCATAGGCTGATGCAAACGGACGGATCGAGGGGGCGGTGAAAAGAGGAAGATGAGGATCGAAGGGAAAGGGCAAGAGAGGTAAGAAAGGAATAATAGGAGGGAAAAGTCCGATGGTAGATATCGACCGTAGGCTGGCAGGCGCAGATTTGAAAATGCAGGGCTCATGAAGCTAGACAATTTTGTTCACGTTTTTCATCTATCATATAGGCCTACCGGTACGTATAGACTTAGCTAAATTGATGCCATATGGAAATCATAACAAAAAACTTATATTACGGTGAGAACCAATGGCCAAACTGTAAGAATAAGTGTGTGTGTGTGTGTGTGTGTGTGTGTGTGTGTGAGAGAGAGAGAGAGAGAGAGAGGGGGGGGGGGAGAGATAAGATAAGATAAGATAAGATCAGATTTTCTTCGTCTTTCTTTCAAATGACATTATAGAGCATAACGGAACATTACACTTTTACAATGCAAAATAACAAATTATGGCAATGATAAAAACAAAGTTAACTAAAAGAAAGACGAGGAGACCCTGGTAAAAGCAGAGCTTATAATTATTAGGGTCCCCTCTGAGCCGGATAAACATGATGAATAGATATTTGTGACTACCTAAGATAGGGAAAAGGGGGTATAACAAAACAAGAAGTCTACACACACACAACAACAACAACAACAACAAAACGAGAGACGAGACTAGACAAGACGGGAGAAAAGAGAAAATATGAGAAATAATAGAAGACTACAGCACATCGACAATACAGCACACAACGGGCACATGCAAGACAACAGGGGGAGGGAATAAGAAGTTGACAATCTGAAAAGAGAGAGGGGATCGAGCTTTTATTTCCCCTATTTTATAGTTCCTTTTGTAATTACATATTAGATAATTTAATTACTCATTATTCCTAAGTTTCATTTGAGGTGTCCACACCGTACAAGCATTGCCTTTTAGTGGACCCCTCTGTTTCAAACATGTATTTCTTAAATTTGTTTTAAATGCTTATAATTGATTTGTAATGTTTTGTTGGAAACATGAATAAATTTGAATTTGAATTTTGAATTTGAATTTGAGAGAGAGAGAGAGAGAGAGAGAGAGAGAGAGAGAGAGAGAGGGGGGTGGAGAGATCGAGAAACTCCTATCTAGGCACGTGATGCAACCACGCCCCCCCCCCAATTCCTATTTCATTGTTCATGTTTATGTTTATTGTGTTTTAATGTTTTAAAATATTATAAATATGTAGGCCTATATAGACCTAGCATGTATTTTATTATTATATCTTACTTTGTTTTATATATATTTCTGTATACGTATTGTAAATAGACTATATGTTGTGCTCTATACCCCTGAAGTGAAGGGAGCGTCGAAAGAGTACTTACTTATTACTTACTTACAAGTTACTTACATTATTATCCATTACAAAAAATAATCTTATTATATAACCGTTTACGATGCCACTTTCCTCATGTTTAGATGCCAAACAGTGTAACCGAGGTGTGAATTCATAGACCAACTGCATGCAAGCGAAAGGTCGAGCGCGAGCTCGATATCGAGAAACCCGTCACGATCACTTTATGCACGTATATTGTGCATGTACTGTTCGTAGGTCCACGTCGATTCATTAGACATTAGGCTATTAAAGCTCCTCTAGTCTCTGTCACTAGAAAGTTGTCTCCATAAGGACTTTGTCAACGCATTTTCACTGCCGTTACCAGAAGACTAATGAACATTGTTCTTAATCCTCCGACTAATTCTAAAATGGACAGAATGGGCGAAGAAGTGGGGTAAGAAAGAGAGAGAGAGTGTGGATGTCAAAATAATTTGTGTGCACAAATGCACAGCCCCAACTCAATCTGCAAAATACACGGAACATAACGAGTGGGACTGTAATAAATGTTTTTGGTATTGGTGGGGAAGTGGGATGCAATTTACAGTGAGCTGGTGGGGATGGCCGATGGGAGGGGGATCGGGACTTGTAGCAATACACCAGTTTACAGTTGTGTGCGCCATTTTAAACAAAGCCAATGACCTAGAGGTCATGTATTTATGCGTAAATTAGGATTGCGCCCATGCAAATTTTGATGATATCACTGCCCTACGCGCTGCGTTGTGCGCGCACATCATCATTTGCATGGGCGCAATCTTAATTTACGCATAAATACCACTGGTCAAAAGTTATTGGCCCCGCTTCCGGGGCCACTGACCCCGCTTCCGGGGCCAGTGACCCGAGATCAACTGTCTGCGCATGCGCACTGATACAACTGTAAACTGGTGTATTGTCTCTAGAACTCTTTCGACTTAGGATGCAAAAAATGGATTCCAAGTATAGAGTCTACCCCCAGTTCACTCGATCACTGCACTGACTACAGTCTACAGACAGTACAGTACAGTCTACTTAGAAGATCTAGACTTGTTTTAGAACTAGGTCTAGTATGGAAGACCTGGAATAGACTTGTAAGCTTGGCAGCTGAAGACGGCTTTCTTCCAGAAGCTTTGGTAGTCAAGGTATTCAAGGTACAGGTTTTCCGTCTTCCCAAGGATTTATCACTCGTAACGTGAAAGTCTCTCTGTACAAAGTCAATGTGAAATGGATCATCAAGAAAGTCGTTGCAGAATCCATTTTTCTCATCGCCAATGCGCAGATCGGAAATAGATCTAAGAAACGTCTGCGAAAATGCGGACGATCCTTATATTTGCGGACGCGTCTGTCTGCGTTTGTTAAGACGAGCCTCATTAATGCGGACGTCGGACGATCCTTCTTCTCGGACCAGCTGAGCTGAGGAGACTTGGGATCGAAAACCTTGTCAAAGTTAAACGCTTTTGATGAAGCCTTCTCAGCAACCCTCTTAGTACTCCTACTCCTACTATCCTACAGTGTAGCTCCTCTTGGTTTTGGACTTATATCATGGCCAGAAATAAGAGTTGTTTTTCTGCTTTTATTTCAATACAAATGAGTAACTTTATTACAAAGGTTGGATGATTTCCCTTTGATGCTCTTCATCTTCAATCTTTATTACTTTGGGATGCAGAAAGAATTATTCTATTCCTATTGTGCCTGATCTCAATTCGTTAATTAGGGAATGTCCAATTTGAAATGCAAAGCAATTATTTCTAAAAATGTAAAGAAATTACATGAAACTTACTCTAAAAATAACCTACATGTACCTGTATATTAAGGCTGTGCACAACCATGTAATGAGGTACCCAAGAACACTCCCAGGCTTACAAGCGAATACTTGAATATTCGGACGCCATTTAAAAAAAAAAATTTAATTTAAAAAAAACATGTAGAGGGAAAGAACCAACTGGGATAGGGAATTATTTTGAGCCAGATGTAATGCATACATGACATGTAGTCTTCAGAACTAATGGTGACACTGGAGTCTAATCTTTTGGTCTAAAAACATAACATAGATGATTTTTAACCCAAGACTTTTGTCTTTTCTTGTTTCAGAAAAATATTTGTTGGGGGTGTAAGCCGTGAAACTACAATAGGTAAGCAAAGCCAATTTGTATAATGTGTTTGAAAAAGCATTTTATTTTTTGCTATCGAGGAGCATAAGATAACATGAAATCAAACAAACCTGAGATGTTTGGCAGATTTTTTTTTCTTTCAGTGTAGCAATGTTTAAATATAGGGATTGATACTTGTGTAGAACTACATCCTTCCTTTTCAGACAATTTTCCCATTTGAATCTGCAGCTCTGAAAAATATGTGAATTGTTCTTGGCTCTTGAGGGAAATAATATTTCTTACTGATAATAGTTCTTAAGTCAACTAAACATGCTCTCAAAAAGTTCCCAGAAATTCCCAGAAATTACTGGATAAATGTTATTGAAGTTATAAAAATAATCTCCATTTTATCCCTCTTCCTATTGCCCAGATGCATTCAGGGCTTATTTTGAGTCCTTTGGTCAGATCAATGATATCGTTTTGATGATGGACAAGGACACCCGGATGAACAAGGGCTATGGCTTTGTGAAATTCGAAGACCCGCGCTGCTCAGAAGATGTACTGGGAAAGAAAGGCCAGCATCAACTTGATGGCAAGATGGTAATTTCTTCTTTCAATACAACTTCTTATCACCAAGGAGGATGGATATGATTTTAGTGTATTTCTTACAAGTTAAATAATTATAGGATTACTTTTGGATAAGTTGTAACTTTTGTTTGCTAAATTTTGTACTCTTTACTAGTCACATGATGCAAGACCTTCTTGGGGCAGAGTGCCTCCTACCTGTTACTCTTTTCTCATCCAAATTTTGGTTCATTGTACACATTTCTGTCAGACATTACTCACAAAATCACAGGTCATCCAAGGACCTCTTTTGCTGAAATTCTATTTTTCATTCCTTTTTTTAAATCTTATTTTTTTCTCCTCCATATCATAAACTTATAGAAAGTGTTGAGGGTAAAATGGCCTTCCAACAGCATTAAGAACAAAAACGGCAAAACAACACAACCCGCAGGTGAAAATAAGAGCCTTTGCAAGCAATATCTGGCTACCTCGATTGCTATAGCTTGAAGAAAAAAAATAAGAAGCTATATAGATTTCTATTAGCCAGAGCATATAATCTGTCTACATCTCACTAGAACTATCAGCGCCAGGAGATTTTTTCTCTAAACAGGTTGATAGTTTTTTTAAATTACCCAACTAAAAGCAACTTTCCTTGTTGATTTTTGCATTGCAGTCAATCAATTCATGACAGATTTACTTCCTCTTTACTGCAGCTGGACACAAAACCTTGCAATGCTCGAGGATCCAAACCAAGAGGATATGGAGGAGGAGGAGGACAAGACGATAGTAGAACAAAGAAAGTCTTTGTCGGAGGCATCTCACAACAAGCATCTAAAGATGACCTGTATGAACTCTTCAAGCAGTTTGGAATGGTAAGCAATGATGTAGACAAGCTTTGTGGCAGGACTCAAGTACCTTTTGTTTAAAGCCCCACTGCACTACTTATAGCTACTTGCTCCCTCTATATAGAAAACAATGCCTAATCGGTGACCATTGGTCCTCCATGATCCCCTTATTTGATGAGACAACCACCTGTCAGTGACTATACAGGGAGGTCTAATCCCTCCTGGCCAAAATATTGCAGTGGGGCTTTAAATGGGATTAAATGTGGCTGTGCGTCTTTAGGGATGGTTCAGAAGGACCAGAGAAATTCTGCAGGTTGGAACAATGTTTTGTCATATATATTTAAAACCCTTGTCGATAACCTGTGAGAAAGAGAAAATTCTAGTAGGCAAAGGGTTGACGTCGAAGGCTTTCATGGTAGAGCAAGAACCTTGAATGTACTCTTATTTATACGTATTGACTCCGTTATAACAGATGGTCTTTATAAAAAAAAAAAAATTCTTCAGATTATGAGTGATTTCCGTATTTTCAATTTGTTCATCTTTCCCCAGAGCTCCTTTAAAGACTCTCATGGCTATTTGTAAGCTTTGCTTTTCCCCATCATTCCCTGCTGCCTTTTTGTATTTTATCATGGAAACTTTCTTTTTAAAATAAACTTGCTGCAGGGACTGCCTCAGGAAAAGTGTGTCTATTGAAACAGATTCAACATAAATCCATGTTCACTGGTTCGCTGTTGTAGATGGAAAAGCCCACTTATATTCTAATCTTTGATTCTATATGTGATTGGTTACAAGTTGATATGGAAATTGTTGGCAGGGCATTTATCATTTAAATAATAAATTACCATACAGTGTTTTCTTCTTGTTGAAATGACTATTTAAAAAAAAAAAAATTTGCTTGAATTTCAGGTGGAAGATGTGCATATTATGACAGATAATGAGACTGGAAAACACAGAGGTAAGTGAGAAGATAATCTTTATGTCAGGCATTGGTCCCAGAAATAATGCTTTCTGGTAATATACAATTGACTGTGATGTAATCACTTGCATGTTTTTTTTTGTTTAAGAAGAAAGGGTGACTTATAAATCAATCATACCTGAAAAAGGGAAGTGTTGTCCTATCATTTTTACATCTTTCCCTACCTTAATTAAGTTACAATTTTATGTATTTTAGTTCTCATCCTTACACTCCTACTTTATTAGAGAAGGTTTTGGTATCTGTAATATAATAATAGATCCCTTTCTATATTATATGAATATACGCTATTGCTTTTGATATAAAGTATCATGTTATTACCCTGGCTGTAGCTGAGCCGCCTTAATAAAGCGCTTAAGCATTCTAGAAATTTCTTCCTACCGGGTACGCATTTACTTCACCTGGGTGGAGAGTGGCAAATGTAGATTAATGTCTTGCCAAACGACATTAGTGCTGTGGCAGGACTTAAACCGTGAACCTATGTGCATTTGATATATATTTTAATGTAGAAAGTAAGGTACTGATTTTAAGTAGCCTTTAAATGTATATTGTGAGAATTAAGGTATTGTAAACAGCTCCTAATTCAAATGTTTTTAAGATGTGAATGAAGTTAGTGTTATAAACTTAAATGAAGAATGGAGATAGTAAAAGTGCAGAGCTTTAAAAATCCTACAATTGTTCCATATTTTGATTTTTATATTAATCACACAAAGTGGTGTCCTTACATTGTAAAGTCACATTACATGAGGTCTTATTGTATCTGCGATATTTAAATATAATGTATATTCATATGTCTTTAGTAGTTAAATTAGACCGTATTCTAATCTGTTATCTTAACTGTATTGTATTCTTTCCTAAGTTTTCTGTTTTCATGTAGGTATTGCCAGAGTAAGCAGTAAGACTTTCCTTATCTACAGTGCATTGCAAGGTCATCCCCCAAAGAGGGCAGCACCTCTGACTTCAAATGGAAGATATAAATTAAAATCAGGGTGCTGCAAACATGACCAGAATGTTCATATTTAGTTTTATGGTCAGAACTCAGAAGATTTTGACTTTGGTAAATCTGACTTTTATGCACATATTTGGTCACATCCCTATCAGTACCTTTGCGGTTGAAAAAAAAAGACAGAAAGAAATAACAAAATAATAATTGCATGCACTGTAGAAATACAGCCTTCATACTTGTACCAGTAAGCTTTAATGTTTACGTTATTATGGAATGGCATGTATCTACTACCTACCTACGTACCTACCTACCTATCTACCATCGTACTGTATCTAGGATTCGGCTTTGTGACGTTGGATAGTGAAGAAGACGTAGAGAAATTGGTCCGAATCCAGCACCTGGAGCTGAAGGGGAAATCGGTAGAGTTTTAAGCCCTTATCTTAACTATTTCTTTTGCAACATGTATGAGAGAAAGAGGAGAGAGAATGAATTTTAAAAAGCAGTGGCATACAGAGATTGGGACAAAATTTGTAAGCAGTTATGTCTGTGGGGGAAATATTGATGATCATCCACGTTAAACGTATTCTTTATTTTAAAATTTAAGAGAATTAAACTTTTATAGTTGCTGTTGCAGTTGCATTATACATAAACCAGACACATTAACCAGACACATTATTAATTATCTACTATTTCCTAAGATGCCATCAATGTTTGTATTTAAATAAATTGCTGAGAGAGTGTTATGCAATATGCATGTGTGAGTTACGATTTAATCCAGCACTGGTTAGCTAATGTTATTAATAAGTTAAAGTACTTGGAGCACAGTGTAAGCTGTAACTTTAAGCAGTACTTCTAAGAAAAATTGTATTTGGCATAGACAATATGTGTAAGTTACCTGACAGTATTTATTTTAGGTTAAATATATACATGTATTTCTTTTACAACAAAATTGGTTCGCTAATTGCATGAGGAAAAAGTAATTAGTATAACTTAATTTATTGTTATGTATAATTAGTATTTATTACTTAAAAGGATTTTGTTCAAAGAATATGACTTTCGGTACATGTACTTATATTTAATTCAGAATAAGGTTGGTTTTTGCTTGCTTATTGAGGTAAATTAAGTACTATTAATGGACAGAAGTCATTGTATGCTCGGAATGCTCCAAGTAGTTTAATTTATTTTTAAGAATTTGCATTCCATTTCATGACTAAAGATAAGATGGATGTTTTGTATTGTAATGTCTATGAATGTTATCAAGTTGACCTTTGTGAACGCAAGTGTTGGGTTGATCATGTACCTGTATACCAGGTACATGAAAACAATCTTTCTTGTTAGGATTTGGATTAGTGAGCTTCAAACAAAGCAATATCAAGCAAAAGCATTAAAAACATTAAATCGCTCAACTTCATGGCTTTCATTTCAAGAGGAATCTCAAAGATGAACATCCATCTTGTTTTCTAGAAGCGTCTTTCCTTTCAAAATATTTTCAATTCATTGTTGAAGCCATGCATGCATGTGGCAATCTTAACTAACCCTTCAGCATCTGTTGTTTAAAAATTTCCAAGCGATTCTTTACTGTTTATTTACAGTAGAGGTTATTATTATTTTTGATAGTATGATGGGAGTGGCCTGGTAAGTGCCTGCATACAGCAAGGGAACCAGATTTCTCTGTTCCTTTAATCAAAGTAAAGTTTATGGTAAATTACCTCTTTCATGCGATATAATTAGATCCTGTTCATGGCTCAGATATTTCAGAAATTAAAGGACCTGCTAAACCAGATCTGCTCTGGTTCCTCTTTTACATTTTTCACAAAATGCTAATTCCATGAATTTCATTGTACATGTATCTTATCTAGTTACATTGTTCAGTACACATATTTTGCAATTTGTTATACACATTTAACCTAGTTGCTTGTCCCTTTTCAAAAGAATTTTGATTCTATTTAATATGTCATACTTTCTTGATGGCAAAATGTTTTTATTGTTGTTTATTTATATTATTACTTTAAAAATCAATGTAGAACATTATGAATAATACTTTATACCTCAAGTTTGATTGTTATATTTTTGATTTTGGATATCTTTGTATCTGTCCTGATCTAATGCTAAATGCAGATGAAAATTGTCCTGATGTATAGATTAGTATGTTGGACACCATTCTGGGACTATTAGAAATATATTGATCTGGAAATGAAAGAAATGTAGAAATGGGTAAGAAAATAGCATAAGTGTTCCCTTGGATTCTCTTTAAATTTTATTTTCCCAGCAGTAAACTTTGCAAATATCATACAAACATATTTTCACATCAAAACTAGGCATTCCTATCAGTAATTTTAATTGAGGAAAAGAAAATGTGGTAAAACTGTCTTCCATTGACACAGGGGCGCTGGTTAAGAAATGGGTAAGAAAATAGCATAAGTGTTCCCTTGGATTCTCTTTAAATTTTATTTTCCCCGCAGTAAACTTTGCAAATATCATACAAACATATTTTCACATCAAAACTAGGCATTCCTATCAGTAATTTTAATTGAGGAAAAGAAAATGTGGTAAAACTGTCTTCCATTGACACCGGGGCGCTGGTTTTTGTACTTTACCAATTTCAGGCTTTGACACCTGTCTGTTCTGAATATACATGGGGGCGTTTCACAAAGCCCTTTTTCAATGATAAATTGACAAATGATAAAAATCAGTGTCAAATCTGCTGATAACCAATCAGAAGCAAGGATTTCACTAGCTTATAACAAAAATTGTCATTTGTCATTGATGACAAGTTTTGTGAAACGCCCCCCAGATGGTATCCCTGAATTATAGTTTTCAATCATTAACCTGACAGACTTATCAATGATATTGCACCGCTCATTCTGACTTTGCATGCCTTGATCCTACTTTAGATGGAGATTAAGAAAGCCCAGCCAAAGATGAACAGAGGATTCGGAGGTCCAGGTGGTCCTATGGGTGGTGGAGGAGGATACCAACAAGGAGGAGGTGGTGGCTTCAACCAAGGAGGACAGCAAGGCTATGGCGGAGGTTATGGAGGTAGCAGCCAATGGAACATGGGCCAACCCATGGGTAGGGTCAATGAAATTTTATTGGCACTACCAAACATTGATTCATAAAATTTTCATTGCAATGCTTTTTGTCTCGCCTGCGTAGCAAAATGTGAGACAAAGGCGCCGCTTTTCCGGTGACGGCGGCGGCGTTAACATCAAAAACTTAACCTAAGGTTAAGTTTTTTTAATTTTTAGTATAATTTTGAAAGGATATGTTTTTAGTCAATGAAACTTGGACTAAAGGGTTGTCAAGGATCCCCAATCATGTGAGTAGAATTTCAGGTCACAAAGTCAAGGTCAAAGGTCATTTCAGGTCAACAAACTTACACTATGTTGTGACATCAACATCAAGATTTTGAATTTTTAGCATAATTTCAAAAGTGTTTGTTCAAATTCCATGAAACTTGTACACAAGGGTTATGAAGTATCACAAATCACATGACACAAATTCCAGGTCACAAAGTCAAGGTCAAAGGTCATTTTAAGTCAGTAGACTTGGGATTATATTTTCACAACTTAATATGAGAATTAATAAATCATTTCTTTTTAATTATTCATATTCCATTAAAGTTATCAATCTTGGTACAAATTATAGTAAATAATTCTTCTGATGATTCATAGTCAATATTCACTTCAAAATGCTGATTATATTCAGAGGATTTCATTTTAGGGGGCCTGCTAATGGGCCACCCTGCCTATAAATAATGTCCCAACCTAAATTTGTCATCATATAGAATTGCGTAATGCAGGCGAGACCGTCGAGAGCGTTTCCCTTGTTTTGTTAGAACAGCCAATGGAACATGGGCCAACCCATGGTTAGGTTCAATGAAAATCTTTATTCACACTACCAAACATGGATCCATAGAATGTTCATTAGAATGCTTTTTTGTTAGTACTATATCTTGTGATGCATGCTACAGCAGCAATTGCTCTGCATTCAATGCTATACCTAATCCTAACCTTCACCCGATACCTGTGAGGAAATGAAGCCCAAAGAAATTGTCTGGATAAAAATGCTGCGAAGCCTGGATAACAATATACAAATAATACACAGCAGTGAGGGCATTAGTAAGAATTACTCACACGAGGTACTTTTGGAACAGTCTAACTTGGACTGTTTTGAAGGTACCGAGTGTGGGTTATTTGACTAATGCCTGAACAAAATGATGTGTATTATTTGTTTTATAAGATTATGATTTATTTGTTTTTATAAAATGATGTTTTATTTGTTTTTATAAAATGATGTTTTATAACATGATTTTGATAATGACCGGTCTTTCAAATTACGTGTTAGGCAAAATAAATGCCTGGTCACGTGTACGCTTTCACCAATCATTTGATTAGGATCCACGTCATCATCTTATAATGATTACTATCAGTAGCAGTCTTAGAAAATGATGTTTTAAACAAATATTTGAATTATAGGTCAGTTTGGGCAACAGCAAGGTGGATATCAGCAGAGGGGTGGTGCAGGAGGACAGGGGTATGGCGCCCAGCAGCAGCAGGGGTACAACAATGGTTACAGCAGGCAACAAGGACAGGGAGGAGCTGGGTATGGTCAACAGGCAGGAGGTTATGGACAGCAGCAGCAGCATCAGCAAACACAACAGCAACAGAGTTATGGAGGTAAGGATGTGATTTGTTGTTTGGAGATAATGCAGGTTGTTTCAACATCGCATGGCTGTGGTAATTTCAAACGGGCTTGTTTGTCAAAGCCAAAGTTAAAGCCAAAATCAAAGCCAAAGCCATAGTCAAAAACATTTGTGGGTAATGTAATTTCCTCTTCAAGAGTATACAACCTTTTTTGTTATATCTATTGCACCCACCTTTTGTTGTATAGTACAGAAAAAAATTGCAAATGCAAATTACTGGCTATCTTATAAAAAAATGCAACTTATTCTGTGTTAGGCAGATATATTTAAATTGCACTTAATAGAATTTGAATGTATCTTTTTACTTAATTTAAAGAAGTTTTTTAGTGACCACGTAGCAAGTATGGAATGCTGCCTGTGTAGCATAAAATTACTACTTATTTGTTGCACTTAAAAATATTCTGCATCTGTAGATCACTGAAAAGCCTGTAAGAACCAAACATTTTGAAAGCAACTTGCTTGAAATCAAATTGATATTTTGACAAGGTTGGTTAGGCGAGGCGTCAAAAATATCGATACCAGCAGGCTGCCGCCTCACGTATTGGCGCATCGAGGCTGCAATTACGGCCGAAGCCTGGCTGGGGCAATTATTTTTCACTTATTAGCCCAGCCGGCTTGCGCCAGGCTGGGATCTGAGGCTCGGTTTTCATTCGAAAGGCGGCAGCCGGCGCATGCTTTTGTTCGGAGACCATTATGATGACATCATGAGTTAATTGAGGGTCTTACCGCCAGCGGTAGCCGGCTGAGCTAATTTAAAAAATGCAGCCAGGACGCACAAGTGCAGTTAGCTGCCGCTGGCTGGTATATTTATTTTTGACGCCTCGCCTTATTTGATTATTTCACTCTTATGGCACTGCAGATAGCTAAGCAACTATTTACATAGTTGAAATTTATACCATTACATTATTTTGCCCTGTTTGTACATGTGTATGGAAAGTATTGTACTCCCCACCAATAAAAAAAGAAGAAGACTTACTTATGAGTAATGTCCATGTAATACTCCACATGCATCAGTCAGTATTGTGTGTGTTGCTCTTTGCTTGCTTGCCTGTCTGATCCTAGTGCATGTTGTGTCATTGTGCAAATCGTGAATGATCTATCTTGCAGGAAAGCCCAATGCGGAAGGTGATAATGGAAGCAAAAGCTCTCGCAATGGTAATGCCTCTCATGTGATCAACAAGTTCTCATAATTCAGACAGTCATGCAAATAAAAGTGTCACAAATTTCTTTCAATATATTCATCAGACATGTTTTTATAATATTCAGGGTAAATTCTGTTAAATTAATCCCAGAGCAATTTATTGGTTTTCATTACCAGAGCTCCAAACATCCTCTCAACAATCTCCAGCCCCCCCCCCCCTCCCTCACCTATAAAGAAAATTGATTTGAAGAAAAAAAGAATGACTGTCTGATGGGGCTTGTTTTGTGTTGTTGATTTTGCATTTATTTTGCTGTGCTGTTCTCTATTTCGGTGTTCTGACATTGTTACCGTTGATAAAGAATTGACTATTTTTCAGAGTTTTGAAAGCCTTATTGTGTAACCCTCATGTTATTCTTGTTATTTAGTTTTTTAATGGAAATCATTTTGTGTGTTCTTCCTGGCAGTTTGTTTTCATGTTTGGACTTTCAAGGATTTAACTGAATTAACATTTATTTTGTTGCTATATTTACAAATCGATGAGCCCTGTTTGTATCAGAAACAGAGGCTGTAGGCATTAATGTAGTCTACACAAAGTGTTATTGAGATGCAGACAACGTCAACATTCCAAGTGACAAAGGCCATTATTAAGACATCTTGAAGTATAGAAATTGTCAATGCAAACATGGACTGTTTTGGGATAAGAAGAAAATTAAGCTACTTTGTGTACTGGAATAGTTGTTTTTGCTCCTTTAAAGTGTTCAAAGTAGATAGTTTCATAAAGAATTTAACCAATATCTATATTGATGCGTTGTTAATTGGAAATGATGCACTGCCCACCATCTGTGATTGGGAAATGGTAAGGTGATGTTTGAAAAGTATGCAATTAAGATGTCACTATGGGCACAAGTATTTGACAGATTTTCATCTCCTTCCCTTCAATATATTTTAAAATCTTTTATATGTGTGACAAGTTTTCATCTTTAATTTTCTGGTTTCCAATTGAAAATCCTGCTTTTTGGTAGTTTTTAAAACCATTTAACATGTTGTTGTATTTTGTTTCCCTTCTATGTAGGTGGACAGAGCTATGGTAGTTATGGAGGTTACGGACAAACACAACAGGACCCCTATGGACAACAACAACAGCAAACACAACAAACACAGCAATATGGAAACCAAGGTAAGAAATTCTCCTTGATCCATATAATTTCACCTGTTATTCTGTCCGTCTAGCCTTATCTGTCTTTATGTTTTCCCTTCCTTTTGCCTGTCATAGATATGTTCATGTAATTGTCTCATACTGCATGTGAAACTCGCTCTCTCTCTCTTTATTTTGTTTTTATTCAAAAGAGCTAAGACTGTATCTAAGTGTACCGGTAGTTAACTATCATCAGATTTCCCTGCCGCTCCGATATCGATAACGGGAGCCAAACCGCCGATCCGATCATAGCTCCAACTTACAGGGTTATCTTGAAGCCGGAATGATGAGTACAATGTGGCCCTGGGAGAAAATTTGTGCGGCATATAAAGAGTTAATAAAATCTTGTTATACTTTTCTTTGTCACCTCTTGCCAGGATCAATGGGTAGCTACGGTCAAGAAGCCTCAGGGTATGGACCTCAACGAGTCAACTACAGCCAGCAACAACAAGGAGGTTACAGTCAAGGTCAGTCCACTCCGCAAGATATAGAATTCATACAATATTTTAAAGCCCCACAGTAGTACTTATAGCTACTTGCGTCCTCTATACAGCCAACAATGCCTAAGCGGTACCCATTGATCCCCCATGATGCCCCTTTTCTTATGTTATTTGAGAGCTGATTTGATGAGATAACCACCTGCCAGTGACCTTACAGGGAGGTCTAATCCCTCCTGGCCAAACTAGTGCAGAGGGGCTTTAAAGTTTACCTATCACTAAGATAATTTGTCCTGTATGTTATGGGTTCCATGATGTAAGAGGTCCTAAAACATTTCTTCTATACAGGGATATTGCAAGTTTGAATATACTTTCAATTAACAAAGACACTGACTTGAGAGTAGACTACTCCAAGTCACCCGTACACGCTCTCCTAGAAGAGGGCCAGCCCGGAACCCAAAGTCTGACTTGGGTTTCTTGCGTGGGTTGTTGTTATTTGTTGTTTTCCTCGTACTCTGCATTCATTAATCCGTAGAATGTTGGTTGGCTTTTTGGTGCTTTGTGTAAGCGAGTATATTGGTCACGTGCACATTGATTTTTATTTTGGTGATGTTACATCTCTGTCTTTTTAATTTCTAAGACATAAAATACCAATAGTTATGCTTAAAATGATATATTTAGATTTCTTTTTTAACACAAAATTATTTAATAATGGCTTGTAATGGTCTGTATTCGCATTTCTTTTCTTGTTGTTTTTGTTCTGTTTTGTATATTTTCTGGAATAGAAGTGGTGAATTTGCAAATTTAAAGACCATGTACAGTAATGTTTAATCTTCACTATATTTAAATTTATCTTCATTTCTTGATTGATCCCATAAATGTCCATTTACTAACAAATTGTATAATTTGATTGAAGTTATAAAATTAATTTGATTAAAGGTAATCAAAGCAAAACTAAAGCTAATGTATAGTATATATAATTAATTTTCATCTAATTTGTTTATCACCCTTTTTTAGAATCCTATCCGGCCTTTTAGAATTGTGAGTATCTTACTGTTTATCAACTAAAATCAAAGAGAACTAACAAATTGATCTTCTTATACTTAACATAACTGTACATGGACTTTAAACTTTAAGCTGAATCACATAATTATTAGTTGATGAAGTGTGACATTTATTGATAGCTATGTCCATACTATAAGATGTAATTCTAAGGAAATAAAATTGACATTTCCTACTGGTTCAGTGTTAGGACCCTAGCACTTGCCTACTGTAGCAACACTTCTATGAATGTCAATCGTGGTTCTGTTTGTGATAATGTTCTAATGTGCATAAAAGGGGATTCATGATGGGGGGGGGGGGGGGGGGGGGAGGTAGGGCAAGTATCACTTTTTTGTCTTCTCACTATTGCTGGGGTCAAAGTGATGCAAGCCAGGTTGCGTGTAATTCTTTGTCAATGTATTGCATGTAAAAATACTATGTCAAATTTCCATGTTTTTTATATTGACTTATTATGGAAATGAATTGAATTGAATTGAATTTCTAAATGGTTGATGTACATGAAGGAGTTAGAAGTAAATTCAGGAATGGTGAGCCTACGAGTTAGAAAAAAGGCATGCTTATCTCCAAATCTGGGTGATTAGTCAGATTGAGCCTTTTCTTTGAGTTTTGGTCTAAGTTACATGACCTCTGCAAGTTTGATTTTCCTAATGTTATGACTACATGAAACTTCTACTAGTTAGACTTCAAATGTCTTCAAAACGCTTTAAATGTGCTATTTTTAACTGCAACTGCTGTTTCTTCCAAAGTTAGCTAGTAATTTGATCACATTTTGCAGTGGCTGGTAGTAATATATGCAAGCCAAATTTTTACAAACCCATCGTCACCCCCTTGCAGGACAGTTTGGTAACAACATGCCCGGCCAGAACTTCGGACCACCTCAGCAACAGCAACAACATCCACAACCACAACCACCACAGCAACAGCAGCCACAGCAAGGGTACGGGCAACAAGTTGAAGGTGGCCCAGACATGTACGGCAACAACAACAACAACTTTGGCAGAGGCAACTTGGGTGGAGGAAACCAGTTCCATCCCTACAGGCGATTCCAAGGCAATCAGGTTCAATAAAGGTGGCAATGGAAATATTCCTGTTGATTTGCCATTGAACTGGATATGTTGTCCTGAGGGCTGTTCTCACTACTTACCTGACAGGGATCCCATTACTTGCATCTAGCCGCATCACATGGTTGACTAAAATATAATGATAAATGCTGACAGCTCGTATACATGCAATGACCATTTTATTCTTACTCAGGCAGCTGCTTTTCATAATAAGGATATTGTCAACTTTATTCAAATTCACTTTTCCTCATGTACAAGTAAATAAAATGAGGGAAATACTATGATAGAAATACAGGAAAATATGAAAGGCATATGGGAGACCTTTTCATAATTATTCTTTTTGTGGGGGGGGGGGGGGGGAGAGGACTTTACGTATGCCTTCTTGTACAGGCGAGAGCAAAGAAAATAATTTCTTATCTAAATTTAAGCTACTACCTACAAATATATACAACCACTGTAAACCAGAGAAAGTTCTATGACATGTAACTTGTTCAAATAATCAATGATTGCTGTTTAGCAGCAAGAAACATTTCATGTCGTTATTCACCCTCAATCAAATGTTTTGTTGACTGACCGAGGAGACTTTCATGAATCTCGGCCACATACATGCCAAAGTTTCTGATTGAACTCTGACTTGCCCGGTGAGCAAGATGTATATGGTTTTTCTCTGCATGATGGTGTTTGTTATCTTAGAGACTTTCAATTCAATGAATGAAATGTAAATGTTTTGTTAAAAATGAAATGTGAGTACTTTTCTTGTGATTGTTCGATGCCAAAGGCATGCTTTTATCCTTCATATTTATCTTTATTTTGTACATTTTGCACTTCATTTAATTTAGAATTCCATTCCTTTATGATCACACATGCATGTTGTTAACAGAACATATTTCATATCTTACAATTAGAATATCTGAGAGCTCCTCTTGTTGAGCTCAGTAAATCATGAATTACAACTTTTTTTTCTTCAACCTGGTGATTGACAAATTCTTTCTCTGATGTTGTTTTGTCAAAAGGCAGTACTTGAGCTGTTTATAATGAATTAATTGCCTACTCTTACATTTTCACAGGAAAGTGGTGTTTTTTGTTGTTGCTGGGGGGGGGGGGGGAATAATAAAGTTATGTTTAAAATATTGTTTCCATATCTGCCATCACAAATTATGGCATTCACATGGAATTTGATGGAATTGTGAATGAATTATAAACACAGTCATTAATGATTATATTTCTGTTCTCTATATCATAGATGTGTCGTGAAATGCTGCTAATTCTAATTGTATAGAGATTATAGTGAATGCCTGTGTATAACAGCACACTTGCAATTGTAATTATTGGTACTGCAACAACGGTATTTGGCCATAGAGGGCAGTACAGGCCATGCGTATATTTCGCAAAGGCACTTCTGGTTCCCATACAAATACAATGGGTCGAGAACTGGAAAGTCTGATAGAAATCATAGTTTCGGTATCAATAAGCTATACGTAACAGATTATGATGGTGCCTGCATAGATCTCATCAAATCATCGGGGGGTTCATGAAACCTGAACAATAATTAAGTAAAATTAGGAATTAGTTGGCATTGCTGTGCATTCTCTATGAAAGCCGGAAGAAGCCTTATCTTATCATCTTGCCCTGTATTGATTCTGCGCATTTGCTGACCTGCGCATTTGCTGACCTGCGCATTGTCGGAAGAAGGTCGCCATCTACTATTGACAATCGATTATGAACAAGCCAATATTTATCACCTGTGATTACAAGTTCTTTACACTATGTGTGTTGGATTAGTTTGTTTTTTATTGTTGACATTAGTTACATAATCCCCTTACCTTTTTTTTCTAATATGAAGGAGTTTCTAATTGCATACCTAATCAAATAAACTGGTTAGCTAAGCATTCAAATTAAACACTTAAAAAATATTAAAAAATTGATCCTTTGTCATGTATATAATGAGCAGAGTTGTATATGCGTGTTAATTTTGCCAACAAATAACTATCTTCTTGCAAGTCTTGTAAGAACTATTCATTGGAAGAGTTCAAATACTGCAATTATTTTCTTCAGCGCCAGAAGGGCATTAACTCGGTGTGAAAGTAAATGAGTTAACGCCCTTCTGGCTCCAAATAGACAAAAAGGATTCACTCCCCTTTTGCAGATGGTATGTTCAGAGCCAGGAGGGTTTTGAAGGGATCATTTAACAATGTTAAATCTGAGATACACAGCCCTACGTGTTATCAGTGTCTGTGATGTGGTGTAATATTGAAGCCCTAAAAAAAATTGCGCTTCAAAATGATCAAGAAGTGCCTCAAAAAAGTAAAAATCTTTGAGTGACCGGTTTTACCTACTCGTTTTCCCCAATAGACTGTAGTGTTATGGAAACCGTCAGGCGAACGGTTTTCAAAATTTTAATTCCAATCATAAATATCTTGATAATCAGACAGGCGATCGGCTTGTAAAAGTCATGGGGTTCCTGACTGACCTAAAGGTTAATAATTATCATTGCATCATGAGCTAAATCCAGAATTTTGTTTCAGAATCTGAGACAAAGTTACCGGATCCCTTTAAGTCGGTCTGAAAAAATGTGTTATCGCCCTTCTGGCTCCAAACATGAAATTCCCTCTTCCTTCACAGTGCACGATTGTCTCGGTACATGTAGTGTTGCATGTTGGGGGAGGCTGATTAAAGTTGGGCAGAGGCTCTTGAAAATTAGTTGCATCAGGTGTTTTTCATCAATCCTCATACGTGATTATCTTGAGGTCTTTATTGTTACTACAATGTCATCATCTGTATGGGTCTGTTTGAAAATGTTTGAAAAAGTTTGAAGATACATAAGGATGTGGTATATATACATTACAAAACAACTTAAATATTTAACATGTACTATCATATTCATTTATCAGTGTGCCATGAATTATTACGATTGTTTTTTTGTTTCTCGTTCTATATTTTTGAAAGAGAATATTGATTAAAAGATTCCACATGTTTTTAACTAGAAAGTCATTTGTATCGTTTGTTTCTCTTTATTTTAGGACCATGCTGTGATTGATTGGGGATCAATCGCAAAATAACAATCTCCCGTCTCTTTTTAACACAGTTGCGATTCATTTCATGTTGGGATCAACTCGAATCAATTGTAACTCTTAATATGACGGGCCCATATGAATAAATGATCGTATAAAAATCAGTGGCTAAGGCTGCACTACACAGCACTGCTTGGGGAGTATGGAAGTTTTCTGATATAAATGTAAATGTGTATTTAGTTTCATGTGTGGTCTACAATCTGCATTCCTTCTGCCACTTGTTATATACATGTATTTTTATGATTCCTTTTCCTGTATCGAGTTCCTTTTATAGGGGGAGGGGGAGCTGAGGGAGAGAGAGAGAGAGAGAGAGGTGGGAGGGAGTGGGAAAAGAAAGAGAGAACAGGTAGGGAGGGTGAAAGAAAGAGAAAGAGAGAACAGGGAATATGGTGAAATGAAATAAAGTGTATGCCTAAGAACAGTTGCATGTGAGAGAAAAAAAATTAAGGAAAACGCCAGAAATGTTATGTCTATAAATGGCTTAAAATCATATTTTACAACGAAGGATCATGGAATGTTCTGTGCTAGTTTTCATAATGTGATGCTGCCCGTGTATGCGTCTGGATTTTTTTTTTTTTTTGGGGGGGGGGGGGGTACTAGTCTTATTGGGTGAAATTGGGTCAGAGGCGAGAAAGTCGGAGGTAAAAATGTCATTGTGCATTCTTGCAAAAGATCCAATATCAAACGTGAATTTATTTAGTTTAATTTCCTTTGTACGTAGGCTCATTTCTGGTTTTAATGCTCGTTTTGTCAATTCAGATCGTATCTCCCTTCTTTTTTTGACGATAATACTCACACCACACGTTCAAGGCCTTTCCTTAACAGACCAGGGAATGGCAACTCCGCTGTCTCTAACGGAAGAATTGTGGACGCCGCAAATGACATAAAACATAATCGGCCAATCAGAATACCGGAAATATTAGCAATAGCAAATCTGTAAGGGAAAAAAAAAATTGCGCGCCGTGCACGTGAGAACATCATGCATGCAGCGCTAGGATTAAAAAAAAATCCACAAAACATATCAAGGTTTTTTTTCTCCAGAAAACTTTAAAAAAAGTTCTTCTTCCAGAAAACAAGTTTTTTTCAGAAACAAAAACACAATTTTTGTCTTCTCCATGAAACAAGAAGTTATTTCTCTTCTTCAGCGGCAGTAATGGGCAGGCGCGTAGCCAGAGTTTGATGTTTGGGGGGGCACATACATGTAATCGATCGAGGTCAAAAAAAGGGGTCTACAAAATTTCAACCGATCCTGGAAATTTTAGGGGGGGCACGTGCCCCCCCGTGCCCCCCCGTGGCTACGCGCCTGGTAATGGGCTTTCGAAATTATGAGATAAGTCAGTCAAGGAATAAGAATTGTATGACACTGTGAACATTGAGATCGCTGTCACAAAGGAGTAGAATCAGTACTAGTGGCAGTAAAGTAGTAGTGTCAGTGACGGATCCAGGGGGGGGGGGGCGCCCAGCCCTCCCCCGGAAAAAAAACATTTAAAAACACGTGATTTTTAGCTTTTTGGGGATGGCCCCCCCCCCCTGGCGCTCAAGGGGGGGGGGGGGGGTGCGATTTTTCAAATTTTCGAGGGCCCAAAAAAAAGTGCTCCTACCCCCCCCCCCCCCCCCCCCCCCCCCCCCCCCCCCCCCCCCCCCCCGCAGAAATAAATGCACTACTTGTAAATAGCTACTTGCTCCCTCTATGCCCGTCGCGACGGGCATAGAGGGAGCAAGTCCCCTATGCAGTGGCGGGTCCAGCCGGGGCCCCCTCACCTGGGAAAAACATGTAAAACACGTTAATTTTACCTTTATTTGGTGACGGGGGCGGGGGGGGGGTGCAAATTTTGAAATTTTGGAGGGCAAAACAAAAAAAATTAGTGCTTCTTAACCCCCCCCCCCCCCGGTTATTCACCGGCTGGGTGTTTCGTCGCTAAATATTTTCTCAGAAATTGGACCCCTTCTTTGGCCCCTTCCCCTGCCGCCGGCTGGATCCGCCCCTGCCCCCATGATCCTCTTTTTCTTATGTTAATGGAGAGCTGATTTGATGAGATAACA